TCACGGTTTGGCTCCGATGCCGGCTTCAGGGGTCCGTAAGTCGATTGGCCTTCCCGTCATGCTCGACGCGCCGATGACATGGGGTGCGGCCTCGATCCCGTCTGCACATGACCAAGCACCTGGCGTCCCAGAACCCTTATCCGTTCTAGCAGCTCACAGTTCGACTGCCGGTTCACACTCGCAGTTTTCTCCGCCTGGGCAGCACGCTCACTGGCAGCCTCAGCCTCCAGCTAAGCATCGGCAGCTTTGTTCACGGCCTGATCAACATCGTCCTGTGCAACTAGGACGCCAGTATTACCATCGCGAGGGCCCACCTCCGCTTGTTTATGCGGAGGGACAGGCGCTGGATTGTAGATCGCAGTGGGTCACGAGGACCCTCCCCGTCAGTGATACAGTCGGCTCATGAGAAGCGCACGGTTCCATTCGCGCGCAGGTGCCGAGTACATTGGCTTGAATTCCCTCCGGAGCAAGATACATGGGAACCGCGTTCCTTTCTCCTTCGTGACGTCCCAGATGTTGTACAGTCGTACGAAACCACGGAGTCGGGCTATTCCCATGCGAGCGCGAACGCGAACGCTCTCGTGACAAACGAGAGCGGTAAGGAGATCCACGCCATCGAGAAAGAGAACGATGACGCGATCAAGAACGTCGTGGAGAATACATTTCACGACTACGAGGCAAGAATCGCGCAACAGGACGGACAGGCGAGCGTGTCGCTGCCCTTCGCTGACTACTCAGCGGAGATTTACTCTGCTGTCGCGAGTGGTGCTGCCAGTGAGGCGCATCACGATAACTGCGCTTTTTCGTTCGCTCAGACTTCGCTCATACTTCGCAATCCAACTTCTTTCGCGTTCGCTGAGTGAACAATCAGCGATGTGTCGTCTCCATTCGTCATGAGGTGAACGTGGCGTCGATTCACAAGATTGAGATCCTTCATTGACATGAACGAAGCAGAGGCGGTCCTCATTTCAAGCATTCTCACACACCATTTCGCGATGTAGTGATCGGCGCGAAGTTCCTTTCGATTGGCGAGCCACAGTTGGAAGCTGCTACCACCTTCGAGCATCCGATTCCAACGTCGGATGAAGGCGCTCCAAGAACGTTGCAAGGATTCATACTCGATTCCATCAAGACCCTTCCCGCGCAGTTTTCGAAATTGGCGGAAGTAGTCCCGCATCGTGTCCAGTGAGTCCGGAGCGCAAGCTCCGGACAAGTCGTACAGTGACCAAGGTATGAGTTGCCGCGCCATGATGCTGGTTGTTGCACTCCCTCTGATAGTGCTTGGGAGTGCTGCAGTGTTGGGTGTCGCGTCGTCGTACATCGCTTGTTAGTTTGTAAACTTTACAGTTTCGATGTTTTATTTACGACTACTTTCTAGCCCCGTTACAGACATCGTCTGACACTGGCCAGTCGGTGATCGCCTTTGTCTTTTTTGTATCAGGGCGTACGCCTTTCTCTCCGACGATGCACCCAAGAAATGGTATTTCTCTAGCTGCAAATATACACTCCTTGAGGTTGGCGTACAACCTTTGCTGTAAGGAACTTACGGACGTGGATTCGGTGGGCTTTCACGTCTGTTTTCTCATCCATATCCCGGCTACAGACGAACACATCATCGAAATAACTTCGGTGCAAAATAGCACAACGGTTTCAATAGATGTAAAACACATCTATTGGATGTAACTGGTGCATTAATGATCCCTTGTGGTACTCCCATAGGATACCAATGGATATGCTTACTGCTGTGTACGGGAAATCCCATTCACGCATTAGGATCTGATAGAATCCATCCATCAGATCCATGGACGAAAAGATGATTTTCATAAACATATTATCTGTTAGTACATCCTTCCTCGGGATCGGCACTATCGACGGTATCGTTGCAGCGTTCAACTTGTTGAACGCATGCCCTGTCCGCCACCTTCCGGTGGACATTAGCACACAGAAGTCGGAGAGCTGTGAGAGGAAATTGATTTGCAGCAAGGCTATAGGCAAAGAACATGTCAATCGACTCGACCTGTTCCCGAGGCAGTGTCCAATACTTCATGACACTATATATTGTGTCTAGTAATAAGTCGATATTATGTCGAGTACCTCTGTATTTAGGTAACTCACACGATATTGCCCACAACATAACCTATCGTTTTATATTCCTAGCGTGGACAATTGAATGATCGTCGAAGTTAACTTCGGAAGCGGAATCAGATCGAGCGTTAAGCGTCTACGCTTCCTTCGTTGTAAATAATACTTTAAACGTCTTATTTACTTCCTATGGGCTTAATTTCTCAAGCTCATCTAGCTATGGTAGCGCAACGACAGCGAGATCCTCTACGATCAACACTTCAGTCGATTAAGAATTACCGTGCTGCCGCTTCCGGGTAGCCAATGTCTTCGATCGCGTATTCTTCCCTCTAGGCAGCATCTATTCCCCGGTCCACTCGACTATTCGGTGGTGGACCTTCGGCGCTGCCTGTGCTTCTGCACAGGCGCCGACAGCTTGCTTGACATTGTGGCTATTTGTCACACCAAATTCTTGCTCAGTCATATTAACGACCATATCGTAGTTGAAGCAATCGCACTGACTCGTAGTATATTCACACGCTTGTGAACGCTCCAAGACGATCACTAAATGACCATCTGATGAACAAGCGGCAGGAATCTTCGGGGTTCGATGCTGCCAGCTGACCCATGGCTCTTACCTTCTGAGTGATGGTAAAACCAGGATGAAATTAAATTTGTCATCTAGATCGAGTACGATGAATTTTTTATATACTCTTTTGCCTTCAAGCGTGTAGTATATCCTCACTACACGTGTCAATACTATTACGGATGCACCTGCTGCAAGGCGCACCGTGATCCTTGCTGAAGGGGTCTCGCACATAAAATATTTGAGCCTGCGATCATCTAGCGACTGGCGATGGACAAAGCTGTTCGACGACTCACAGTCAACTTGGGCGCGAAGTTACATGTTCTTTGTCACATCTAGCTTAAAGGTGATGCGGCATCTCATCATTTAAAAGCAGCAACACACAGTTACTGTGAGTTGGGAGCACCCTTTGTCAGGAGTCCCGAGAACTCTCTTGACGTTGCTAGATTGGTACCTCTACCAACCCGACCGTTTTGATGGTCCATCACGCTGTTGTGGTTTTGCAACACCGTAAACCCACGTCGCTGACCCTTTTAAAAGACAGAAGATGATCGCTTCCAGTGTGACGAAACACTGGGCGTGAAAACTACACTCATAAAAGAAGTGTCCTCGTAGATCACCGTAGGCCTTGCGGCTCAGCGCAACGCGTGATGACTTCTTCTATTTCAGTAATCTAGAATGAAATGCGGGACAGTGTATGGCTGAAACCGTTGGCGTCTCGCCGTCGGTGCCATGCTGCTCTCTCTGTTCATCTATGCGTAGGCCTTAGGTCTTAAGCTGCATAACCATGCGTTTTTTAACGTATGGAGTCCTCAAGACGCGACTCAAATATATGTTTAAGCCGCGCCCCGCCGAATTCAGGCCTCGAGCTGAGCTCCTGGATCTTAAAGAGAGTAAGCGTAACATACACGCTTCCGACTAGCATGCACGATACTTCGTCAGTTGTATCGTGCTGAACCTAATTGATGAACAAACACGGGTTACTGTTTTTATAAAGGGTCTGACGGATAATTACGTCAAGAACCACCTGTTCCGCTTGGGACTAGAGTCGCTTGATTAAGCGTTCTCTGCAGCGGAACAGGAGGACTTTAGCCTGCAACAGGCTCATGTCCACTCGAGATCTATCTTCCACCGAGACGACAGGAGGGCGGAGTAGGGCGGAGGCAATGGACCTCTCGTATGTAGAAAGCGAGCGACCTCGCTCTCCAGGATACAAGCGATTGCGAAAGTGCAATCGCTGTCAGAAGATGGTTACTAAGGCACTAAATAGTAGACCGGGTATGTTGTTTTCGTGCCCTCCATTCAGTACGCGCGTTCATCGATCATTGGTCAGCGCGCTCGTTGATAATGGCCTATATTAACCAATTAGAGGGCATTTTCAACTTCAAGGAGATGCAAGGACAATATTTTTAAAGAAAAGAAATATTATCGAATAATATCAGATATAAAAATAGTTAGAGTAATCTTCTTATGTAATGGACCCACCTCCGTTACATGTGGCGTATTGTATAATTTCCTCCTTTACCCAATTCCTGCTGTCACCTTCCTCTGGCACTGGTGCAGACGTAAAAAGCCTGTCCATTAGCTCCAACGGCTGTAAGTCGGCTAGTGGAGATCCGCCAATATCAGAATCGTTTGCCTCTTCGTTTTTCACCCTTACTTAGAATTATGTTGCTTTATTACCCAAAAGAAGCTCCATGGCTTCGGGACCATGTTCAAGCGTCCAGATTTTTCGGGGCCATGTCCCAGAGCTCCGAAACCATTCATATGCAATTTTGAATTCAGAACTGTATCCTTCGGTAAATGAATGATTTATTTTCGACAAGCTGGATGGGACGGATGGTGAATAGATGGTGAGTGAAAGGAGATGAGCAGCTGGCCAGACATTGCTCTTAGTGCACAGAAACAGCCACCGTAGCGACAGAAAGCGTCTGTCGGTGGCTCTAAACTTGTTTTTCAGGTAAACTTTAACATGGGATGGTAGGTAATTCGACTCGCTTATTACTTCAGTAATTTCGTGTCACAATCCTTGGCACCTTTTTTAGAATTCTCGATAGACGTCAACAATCGTCTAGGAATCATTAAAGTCCCGTGCAAAAGAAGACCTTTGTGCTGATTGTCTCAAAAAAATGCCCTTGCTATAAATCAGATCGACCATCCTTTATAAGTTCTGCTTTTCAACTTGTTTTTCTTGACGTAAGAAAAAACAACAAGAGGTAGCTAGACCTTGCCCAATATCAGAGGGAGCTAGACCTTGCCCAATATCAGAGGGAGCTAGACCTTGCCCAATATCAGAGGTAGTAGACCTTGCCCAATATCAGAGGTAGTAGACCTTGCCCAATATCAGAGGGAGCTAGACCTTGCCCAATATCACCAGCGAGCCACTAGCACCAAACATACCAACTAATAGAAAAAATTAACGTGTATTGATCTTAAAAAGGTGCGATGGAATCCTATAGCTAGCTACATCCTGTAGCTAGCTACAAGGAGCTTTCTCTTGACATCTTAAACCTTGGAAGTATGTCCTCCGTACTGATTACCGATCGGAGACAACGCAGCTGACGTAGGCGTCACGCTCTGGTGGTACGGCACAGGATCTTCTAATTGCACGTCAGTAGGTCCGTTAACTTGCTCGTTTGAGGTCAGGAACGTCATCACCAGCGACACCAAAAAGAAAAACATGGCGATAAAGTCGAAAGCCGTCGCAGCTCGGAGGTTGTGACAGTGCCACCCAAAGCCACAGTATCTCGTAAAGTCCGACGTCGCCAAGCAGATACCGGCAACAAGTAGCAAGAGCACCAATAGTCCATCTAGGCACTGCTCGAAACGAAGTGCCGGACGATTAGCAAAATGGAAGATCTCCACCGCCACAAGATGCCACAACGTGTACAGCATGCCAGTGTAACCCATAAGCAGCACGAAAATACTTGCTCTCGAAGCCGCTCCATCGTAAAAGCCGCCAGCTGCAAAAGCCAAGGCCAAGACACTGCAAATGAGTTGTATACCACGTAGTCCTAATCGTAGATATACCATATTCTTAGGGGCCGTTGCAACAAGCGACATATTTCGTCTGAGTATTGAAACTATTCAAATGAGTCGAAGCGAGGAAGTTCACGAATGGGACGTACTTTATTGAGAAAAAATGTGGGGAAGGGCGTGTCCCCCTTGCGACATGTGCTGACTTTCGTACCTTCAATTTGAAGGGGGGAGGGGGGAGGTCGATGGTGTGTACCTAAGAAAAGACTAGGATGAGCTAAACCAGCTGACCATGTGAGACTTCTTATCTTGTTTGTATACGACCTACTTACTGGCCCTACAATCACTTGAAGGTTCGCAAACCAAATATAGACTGGGTTGGCTTTTTACTGCTTGATCGATGGAGTTGTCTCTCCCGTGCTTCCTGCGATCCTTCCAGCCAACTATTTGTTGGTCGAGAATCGCAAGAAGCCAGAAAAGATTCAGTGACAGACGTCGCGTGATGTACCCAAAGACTTTTCCGTTACAACTAGTTATTACACCAACCAAAAGGGTTGTCATTGTGGCCGTCGAGCAATAAAACGATGTCGTAACTTTTGTGGTCCTTTTGTTTGTCCTACAGTCACGGTAGTGACGTATTTCCTATATGCTAATAACGTAGACAAGAGGGTAGTAGAGTAGTACCTACGCGGGAAAGAAGTTGGTTGGAAATCCACCGTCAGATCCAGATTCTATACCCACATGTGGCAGGCAACTCGAGATGACACCAATGGACGTGGGTGCCACTTATATGTCGTTTCAAGAGAGAACCTCGATGATTAAGGACAGTCCGGTGGGAAAACGTAGGTGCTCACTATACGTGAAACCTTCGATGTGTTAGTGCCTACGATGAGCAGATACCCTACTGGTCCATCAGTTCTTTATAATCATAGATATGTCTGGCCTTATGACTTTATAGAGCGTCACTTGTGCTTGCAGTTAGTGGCGTCGCAATTACAATACAGCACAGCACCGAAAACGGTAAAACGCTCTGGAAAGGTCAGTGTAACATCCTGTGCGTCTGGAAAGAAAACCTTAAGGTACCAACGGCGGCATCGATGGCTCTGCGTCGTCAGCGACATCAAGCATTTGGGACGATTCATTCACGTTTTGTAGTCTGTGCCGTCCAATGTCTTTGGAAAAAGTCCTTACTATTAGCATCCCTTTCGTAATAAGCGTAGTGGTGAGTTTCGTGGCGATCGTGCTAATGTTCCAGCTCGCATCAGGATTCTTTGCAGCTTTTCGTTCACTCTTTAAACGAAAGACAGAAGACAAGAATGCAGAAGAGGGTATCATCGATCTCGAGACTGGAAGCGGTTTGGTAACACCTTTGCCATATGGATACCACGTCACATGGAATACGCCGCAAAGTAAAGTGTTACTACCTTTTTTTAGTTGCGACACACCCGAATCTGGATCGTACCCGAGACTTCACGATACTAAGAGTACACTCTCACCAAGAGTCATGACTAGCTTAGTTTCTCCGATTAAAACTGGATGCAGCCCACTGAAGCGAATAATACAGGGAAGCAAAAGTGCTGCCACGGAGCTTGCTGAGTAAACTCTGCAATCAATACTCATTACGCCACTTTAGATAGATGTTTGTCGTGTTTAGGAACTGCTCAATACAAGAATCTTTAGTTATATGTATTGATGTTATGTCCCGAATATGACGTCCTCCCGGACTGTTAGTGTCTTTAATTTCTCTCTCGTTTCATGATAGCAGGCTTCACGTCTTGCAGTTTATACAAATTATATTGACACCACGGAATCAACTGGATGAATTACGTATCGTAACGCAACAATTGACTCAGGCATGACAGGTTGAGCAACAGAAGGTGAGGAGGTGCTGTCGGTCTCGCCTAACACCAAGAAATGCATGCATGCAATAATGCACTGCTTGCTGATTGTCCGTGTCAAAGAGAGAAAAAGATTCAGATCGTCTATTCGATGCTCCCTCTTTGCAATTGCTAGGAGCTGACAAAGGCACATAGCCCAAAATGTGGCGTGTGACAGCCTTGTAGACGGCTGCATTCCTGTTAGTCAAATTCGTGTTTGACATCATGTCGCGAGGACGTGCCAAATTGGTGTCCAGACGCGTTCGGCTTTACCCACGTCATCCTGAAATCGGTCCATCAGAATTATCGTTCGGTACGCAGGTATGTTACGAGCCCTTTTACTAGCACAGGCCCCAAGAAGTTGTGAATCAATTAACAGGTGACTTGCTGCCCGGTCCGGTGACCAATAAGTTTATCCCAAAGCGCTGCGGTACAAGTATATTTCCAGAACAGATGGACAATAGCCCCCTCACTGCCGCTGCAGGCCGGTGTCTTTCGACAACTATTGTTTTTGTTCCGCGCAGCGTGATACAGATTCAATTGTCTCGTCGCCACCCGGTACCCTGCCCAGACTTGATATGGTGTGAGACCAGACTTGATATGGTATAAAACCCTTACTATGATCCCACACTTGCGTCAGCGTTTCCCGGAGCGTTGCGCATTGCCGTTCATCCGTCGTTGCCGATTCGGAAAGGCAGTCAATGAGAATCAAAAGTTGACGGACAAGAACTTCTTTGTGGAGCTGAAAAGCTTTGCTTGCCTAAGGCCTTCGTGATAGCGTAATTTGACGTTGAATTCGGCACAGACCAAGGGAGCCGATAAGGCTGCGGGTACGCCTTGAATACCAGACCCAAAGTTCGAATACTGTGACAAAGAGCTTGTCGTCAAAAGGCGAATCGTCGGTGAGCTCCGATATGAATCCGTGGTAAACCCAGTACACCCCATCATCAGCTTGATGCAGCGTGACGCTCGATCTCCGTCGAGTGGCTTTCAATAATGCTTTTGTCAAAAAACCTCCAGCAATAGCTCTCCAAAATTGGCGGTGCCTATCGAAAACGCAGTGGTGCAATACTATTCCAATGAGTAAGTCCAGGGATGAAAGCAGGAGGGCTGTCGGAATATCGCTTTCGAATGATGGCCGTGTCGATTCGGAGGTGTTGGTACACGCAACATGAATGTTACTTGCCCCATATGCAAAATGTGTAGTTGTTCAAAGGTGCAGTCCTCAATTGTATCGTACTTGGTTTTGGATAGCATGTTGCCGCCCTGGCCCACTGTCCATTAATCAAAGATTACAAGTTGACTCAACTGTGTTTGCGTTTTGTAATCAGCCTGCACAGAATACGGCGTTACACTTCCAGCGTCTTTGCTCCCATCTTTTTCCCATTTTCTCAGCCCTGTCAAGATTCAACTGACATTCAGACGCAAAGCAGGACTCGACGCAATCCTGTCTACACAGAAATGATCATCCAAACAACTTGTCAAGGAGATACAAATACACAGGTCCCATACACATTCTAAATACTCATTTACCGCTCTAGTCAGGAACATTATAAAACAGAGGTTTTTTCATGCATCCGTATTTTCTTTCGCACTTGAAAGTTCTACGTAAGAAAACGGCTGGAGCGAGATATCCCACCACAACCAAATTTTACCATCACAACATCAGCTTCGAACCCCCTCAGCCTCATTTCTTCAGCATTATAATCATGTCAAACGTTGTCGTACCATCCTTCTTTCCAACGTCCATTGAGATTGCTGGTGGGATTCGATGGGTCAAAGAACATCCTGTGGTGGCCACTGCTGCTGTGGCTGCAGCAACTGCAGTGAGTGTGCTCAAGTACCTCCAAGTCGCTACGGAGGATGACACTGAATTAAAAGTAGCCATTTTAAGTCCCCGTAAGGAGACTGACGATGTCTGCAGTACTACAGAGAGTGATGCGTCCACCCCATCACGAGATCGGACCCTCACGCTTCGCAACCTCAGTGTACGTGGCAAGTTTTTTTTAGCTGAACATTGAAAGAATTGGTGGAAGGAAGCTGACTTTGTATTCTGGTGCAGTTTCTTGAGTCCGAAAGGGACATTGAGATTGATGCTGCAGTGGGGAACAAAGTATTGTTGGAGCCCGCTTTGTTAGAGGAAGATGGAGAGACGGGATCCCCACAGTGGGGATGGTACGTGTCGACAACGCCACCCGAGGATTATTATCCGTGATGCTACGACACTCTAATCATCAAGTGCCGTAGATTTTTGAACCGACAAAAGCATTGCAATGGATATCCTCTCCCCTTTTGCGGCGAACTCGAAAGCTGCCTACACCTCAGATAGCATCTTATTGTCCTGGTCGTAATGGGGTTATTTTTTCTGAAGCGACTGGCTGATCATCAACTCCGAGCAAGCTGCATGTATTCTGGTTTTTGTTGTAATATATTGAGACCTCGCAAAAAAAAAAAAATGCTATCATCTCGTTTTCTTTTGTGCGATCCTATGTTGTCTATGCTGCTTAGAAGCCGCACGTTCCGGCTGCTCAATGTTTGAATTGTGAAGGAAAGCATTGTCTACGAGTCGCTTGAAGACGTTCGTCAACATATTTCATGAATTAATGATGTAGTTGCCTTGTGTACAAGAATTCTATATGATCGAGCTATTATCTCGATTGTGTTTGCTTACGCGGAAGCTTCGCAATCGCAGGAGACGCGACGCAGTTTCGTTGATGAGGTGGTATTGGTTGCTGCCGTCTTGACTAAAAAATGCACACCTTCGGCGCTCAAAAAGTTGTCTTCAAGACCGAGGAATCGCAGAGTCGGGCAGGCTAAACTTGCCAACAATCTCTGTAGCTCACTCACACAGTTGTCGGTCACGAGGTTTCCTCCCATACACAGCACTTGGAGCAAAGGCTGCTTCTGGATTAGAGCACACACAACTGCACGTAGTCCAGTCTCACCCATAAAATTACGACGTAGATCCAAACGAGTAAGACGTGGAGCTTGAGGAGACTGAAGCAAACGTGCGACTCTGTATGCGCCGAGATCACCGAGGTTGTTGCCAGCCAGTAGTAAGTCTTCCAAAAATGGACAGCAGCTACTTTCCAGTGCCTTGCACAGCGGAAATAGACCGTTATGGCTCATGGTGTTGACGAACATCGAGTTGAGCTGCAGTTTCTTCAGATTCGGAAAGGTGCCAGAGCTCAATGCACCAGCCAAAGCAAGCACAGCACTTTCACCATCATTCGCTTGATTCGTTGGAAGCTCGGCACAGCCCCAAGCGTAAAGTGGAGTCGTTGCGGATCCAACTCTTGCTACTGCTGGAGATAAGGATAACGCTCCAGCCTTGTGCACTACAAGCTGCTCGAGTTTGATCAGCCGAAGCATGGACGAGTTGGAAGCCAGTCCGTGTGCCAATTGAGAGACCTTCACTGTCAGACACAGTATACAATTCGGCAAGAAAGCAGCAGCAAACCGATTCAGCATCCGTTGACGCATAACCTCATTACCATCTAAAAACGAGAACACCAAGCGCGTACAGTCCTCATCAATGGAAGAAAAGATATTGATACTTGTGGTTGTGGACGTGCATCGTTGACGCTTGCTAACTTGCATCAAATTTCGTGACATAACATGACGCTTTCTGGTTTGCACCCCTGTCTCACTTGCCACAGCTTCGTGCACGCTAGAAGCAACCAGGCTCTGTAGTCGTCGTCGAAGCGTTGTCAAGTTGCCGTATTCAATCAACGAACCCGCACGTGAATACAGTGCCAGTTCAATGCGCTTGGCCAACAACACTGCTCTATTGGAATTTACGTTGGACTTGCTATGACTCTGCGAAAGCTGCAGAATTCGTTGCACCATCGTCCGCCGTTCGGACAGGTGGCTCGCGGACTGCCATTGAAGCTGCTGGTTCTGTATCTCTTGGACGTCCTGCAGTTCGACAGAATTGACAACGTGTTTAGCATTGCACCGTTCTGGTCGAAGCTGTGTCCATTGCGAAGACTGTATCACCAATACTGTCGGGGTTGTCAAACTCTGACTTTGAAGTGTCGTCATCTGTGTCTGCAATGTCGTGGTCGAGGATTGGAGAGATCTGCCGGTAAAAGTGAGAATGGCAGGTCGTAGATGCCAATGAGTTGAGACTTCGGCTGCTCTGGCAGAGGTACCGAGCGCTCTTCTACTGCACCCTCGGCCCGTTTCCAGAGCTCTCGGCTCTTCTCTGAAAGGCTTGGGAGGGTGTTCGAGGCATCGAAGCGTCCAGGCATAACAAACAAAAAACAGGCCACATCCGCACGCCTAGCTGAACTTCGACCTACATGTCCGTAAACGTGAAAAGACGAGCAAGCGGATGTCTATTTCTCCACAGCTGCCAACTGTAAGTGTTGCGTTTACGACTTCACACCAAATAATCGGCACTGGCGTCTAATGTCCTTATCGCACTTTTTACATGTTTGACAAAGTAAGTTGCTAACAGCGTGATCTGTGGAATTGGAGGTGCTTACAGTGCTGACAAAACTTGTGCTTAATGGACTCCCATTGTACGTTTCGATTGTCTGAGACCCTTGACGACTCGAGTCACGCTTCTACAGACGAATCATTTACGAATGTTACTAGTGATGAATAAGATAGACCAGCAGAGACTACGAACTCTTCATCTGGGTGGTGGTCGTGTAACGATTCTACTCATGGACTCTATTACATTGAGTGATTACATAGATGTTTAGATATCTCTTACTCACTCTTGGATAGCCATTCCGTTAACGATGGATGGCGTAGGTAGAAGCTCTATGGATCTATCTTTGCGTTTGCAGCTGGGCGTAGACAATTCTAGTTGACTAAGCTTATGCGGTTCTTTTGTCAAACTCTCGTTCCTATTGTCTGACATTGAGAACAAGATTCGCAATGTTGAAATGCAAAGGACAACCGAAGCACCATTTGCCAGCTCTTGCTTGTCACATCTTTATTTGCTTCAGGTGATCGAACGTTTGAGGCATTAAGTGTAGAGACGACACCAAATGCCTCCTACCAGGTAAATAGTAAACCAAAGACGATCGGCTGATACTTTTGTGTTGAAGGCTCAACATTCTGGTTAACGTCTGTTTCAGTTGGTCATCTTGGATACATGTAAAAGCAGGCACGAATGGCTTATCTTTATTGGTGTGCATCAAGCGCTGCGAACAGCCCCAACGGAGCTTCAAAACGAGAGCTTGATAGTTAGAAGACCTGAATGTGAGCAGAGCTGCCAACGAAGTGACCCTTGAGAGCCAAAGAAGGTAGAAGTGGTAAGTGTGAGAGTGAATTAGTTTGGAGCTTCAAGAATTCTGGGTCTTCGAAGGCTAGCGCCTGTGGTTATGAGTGAAACGTCTAATCGATTATCACATACGTAACAGTCTAGTGCTGCAAGGCTGTGGATGCAAGACCATTAGCGCTCAGACGGCGCGGTAATGGTCGCCACGAAAGTGTCCACACGAAGATAGATAAAGTGGTTGGGTGGTGAAACGTACGAGTCTAACGGATGCCATCCGAACGGACGACGATCGATATTGTCCAACCTTCACATCTACTGGACGCTTACAAGTGGTTGCTGTGTTTACAAGCAAAAAATACTTCAGTCTATCAGCTTCGTGACGGTTTTTGCGCACGAGAAGCACCTACAATAGATGAGGTACTAGCTGATGCTTTCACACTATCTCTTAGCAATCCCAAATTGTCAATGTAATCGTTAAAGATGGACACGACGTTGTAAAGTAATACAACCGTGGATAGATAAAAGCCTGGGGACGTCACAACAAGTACTCGAGATAGCAAGTTAACTTTACAATAGCAAAAGCCTCTTTTTCAATGTTTTGGAGAACCAGTCAACCTCCCGCCTCGAAAAGGCAAGTGGTCGATGATGTTGCTGCTCTAGCAGCAAATGCATCTCGCTGATCCGGGTTCAGCTGCTTGACTACGGCGCCACACTGCCTAGTTGGCGTCAGAGGTACACCTCACGTCGGTCAGAGTGTACCAATGTCCCAAAATGTCCTTGCCAGCTGCCAGGTCATTAATGTCTCCATTGCCACAGCATTTGTCTGCCGAGAGTATTCTACGAGCTTGCATTGTTTGCGGCCCCTCCGCTTGCATGTCCATTGCTGCTGTCACGTACAGTAAAGCGTCAACTTGCTGTAGGTAGGTCGTGTTTTGGCGCATCTGATTTGCTGGAGATCATCAGCCGTACGCGGTGGCTACATTTTGATCAGGAGTCATAAACGTACTCGGAGCACAACGTATTACTTTTTTATATTGCATGAAAGGACCCTAAGCATCAGGAATGTCGTGGACAACATGAGCAAAACCTCTTAAATAGTGCCACGAATATGCAAGGAGGGGCTTTTAATTGTTGAATGGTGTGAGCTACCTATGGGTATCTGACTACTATTTTACAGTAGTACTATTTAGCCAAGCTAATGTACAGTAGTAATTCTTTGGTCAAGCTAATACTTATGAGCTACAAGTTTTTTGTGTTCAGGAACAGAATGAGCCTGGAAACTTCTTTTTAATATATCATGTGGACGGCCCGTTTTCGCCGTGCGCAATCATGTATACTTAACCATAAAAGCTAAATCTGAATGCTAACCTAATAATTGGTCAGCAAACTTTTTATTTCGTCTACGCACAACTTTTAGCAGCGACTAAAAGTACTATAATTTGCCAAATCATGATTATAATAGTCAAGAAAGCGCTTGGCATAGTGTTAAGCAGACTACTGGTATGCTTTCTCAATAGAAGACACCTTCCTCTACTCGCCCGTCTCTCGAGTGCGTGCAGCTTCGTATTCCACGATTAGTTTCGCCAACTCAACGACGCGTTCGAAAAGTTTGGGGTTACCATGTACCGTGATATTAATCTTCCCCCCATTTTTTTCTTCCGTAATCGTCACTTCTCCTCCTGCTCCGTGACGTGGGCCTGCGCCCGCAAAAAGGCTATTTTCATGATTCATTATTCGCGTCCACCACTTCTTGAGCCGGTCCCATAGTCCGTTGTTTTCGTACTCCGACACCGTTACCGTCCCACCTTCCGCTGTTTTATCAACAACAATGTTCGACGACACGGCCACGCTTCCGATTGGAACACGTCTGGCACCGTTAGAAATGTCCTCATCACCATCAACTTGCTCAGCAACGGATATCCCACTTGCAAACAGAAAAATCATGGACACAACCACGAGTCGACCCCAAAAACCCATTTTTCTATACTTATGTGCTGTCAACGATCAAAATTGATCAATGAAAACAAATGAAGAAAAGAAGAATGGTGCATGATGGCAAAAAAATGCTAAAATGCTGGTCGGATGATCCTGTATACTTATGTAGCCATGTTTATTGAAGTACAGCACTTACTCGAAGAGTAGAACTAATCTGACCATGGTACAGAGAAAGTGTGAGAAGAACAGACCGTCTATTTCAAACATTAAGGATTGGTAAGATGTCTGGAGTGCTTCTACCAGGACTTCGTCATTCTTCGCCTCGCTGGCTCAATCTGCTGGCTCGAGACGTCGGGCGTCACGGGGGACACTCCGAAAAGGGCACGTGGAATCGGGTATCCAGCCCGAGGTGTAAACAGTGGCTCAATGATCGCAACAAGCGCCGGGCACCACACCGATCAGTCCCGATCGACCGCAGGTACAGAGAAAGTGTCTGAATCATAACTCTGAGATCGCAGATGGTTTATTAACTGATACGGTCTATCATTTAAAACAGGTATACAATTATTGGTAATGACTGCTTCATTCCGAATCTACCATGCATATGGAAGTTAGTATTTCCAAAAGATTAAGGTAGACAGGTTCTACTATTACTGTTTGATTTTGACTCCAGTTGAATACTACTAGCTACTCCTGAAGGCCCTACAAATAGTAATTGTGCCTAAACCACCAGCCTCGATCTCTACATCCTTTCCGCAGGGTGTTACTTGATGGTAATTCATCGTCGGAGTCTGTATTGCTTGCTGCAACGACGTACTCAATAGTATCTGAAGCGTGACCCTGTATCGAAATACTACTAAATTGTGCACAGTAATAAATATTTGTACAAGCTATACTCAAGAGGTACAACTGTTCTTTGTTCAGGAATTTATAAATCGGCGCGTTTTCGCCGTGCGGTGCCGTCTCGAACATGTATCCAGTATACTTAACTATAAAGGCAAAATCGGAATGTTAGCCTAATTTTTCTTAGCCAAAGTATTACCGACCTCGCCAACTCTTTGACCATATACAAATAGCAGCCACGACCAAATTTCAGCAGCGACTAAAAGTACTATTTGTTGTAAATGCATGGTTATTAATAGTCAAGAGTCCGCATTTGCAGATTATTCTACTAGTATTAACGACTAGTGATAAGCTTTCTCAATCCTTCCTTTACTCGCCATTCTCTCGAGTGCGTGCAGCTTCGTATTCCACGATTAGTTTCGTCAACACGATGACGCTTTCAAAAAGTTTGGGGTTACCATGTACCGTTATAGTGATCATTCCCCCCTTTTTTTCATCTGTTATCGTCACTTCTCCTCCATCTCCGTCACGTGGGCCTGTACCAGCAAGAAGGCTATCTTCATGATCCATTATTTGCGTCCACCACTTCTTGAGCCGGTCCCATAGGCTAGTATTTTCGTACTCCGACACGGTTACCGTCCCACCTCCATCTGTTCTATTAACATCAATGTTTGACGACACGGCTACGCTTCCAATTGGAACAAGTCTAGCACCGTTAGACGTATCCTCATCACCACCAACTTGCTCAGCAACGGATATCCCACTTGCAAACAGGAAAATCATGGACACAACCACGAGTCGACCCCATAAACCCATTTTTTTCTTTACTTGAAATGTGCTGTAGTAGTACTGTCAAGAATCAAAATTGATCAATGGTACAATAGAAGAAGAAAAAGAATGTTGCATGGATGGCAAAAGAATGCTCAAATGCTGGTCGACCAGATGACGTCTGATACGTATGTAGCCATGTATATTGATGTACATCCACTTACCCACTGGCAGTAATCTAATTCGTTCAAATTCCTACCTTTTCTATCCAATCATATGCTTTTACTTGATGACTGGCCACCATTGAAAGGGAGGAACAAGTTCATCATCTGATCTCGACACTTTGAAAGACCTCTTGAATCTTGTACCATGGCTGAGACCAACATCTACCCACGTGCTGAATTGGACGGCCATAACGGTAAAGCCGTGACATCCATTGCCACGACCCGTGAGAACCCAAACCTTCTTCTAACTGCCTCACGTGACAAGTCGCTACTTGTGTGGCAATTGTCAAATGACGGTGAAGAATACGGATTTGCTCGTCGTCGTCTCCAAGGTCACTCTCACTATGTGGAGGATGTGGTGATTTCATCGGATGGACAATTTGCATTGTCTGGATCATGGGACGGTACGCTACGTCTCTGGGACTTGAACACGGGCATCACGACACGTCGTTTTGTTGGACACACCAAGGACGTCTTGTCAGTGGCATTTAGTGCTGACAATCGTCAGATTGTGTCTGGTTCACGTGACAAGACAGTGAAGCTCTGGAACACTCTGGGTGAATGCAAGTACACGATCACGGAAGATGGGCACACGGAATGGGTTTCGTGTGTTCGTTTCAGTCCTTCGACTGCCAATCCCCTCATTGTGTCCTGTGGTTGGGACAAGGTGGTCAAGATCTGGAACTTGTCTAACTGCAAGCTCCGTACCAATTTGTTTGGTCACGAGGGGTACCTTAACACGGTGACTGTGTCTCCGGATGGATCTATTTGTGCTTCGGGTGGCAAGGACGGTACTGCTAACCTTTGGGACTTGAATGAAGGCAAGCGCCTCTATTCCCTCGTTGCTGGTGACGTTATCCACGCCCTGGTGTTCTCACCTAACCGTTACTGGTTGTGTGCTGCCACGACGTCGGGCATTAAGATTTGGGATCTTGAGTCGAAGATGGTGGTGCACGACCTGCAGCCGGACATTGAAGAGCCTAAGGGCAAGTACGCCCAACCACCTCACTGCATCTCGCTGGCGTGGTCGGCTGATGGTTCGGTGCTCTTTTCGGGCTACACGGATGGTATTGTCCGTGTGTGGGCCGTAGGCAACTAAGCACAAACTGATGACGCTTACTGTCGATAGGTGCAGGCTCTAGTTGGTTGAGATAGACTTGAAGATGTATGTTACATGTAGAAATGATTCAACATGACAGCACTTTGAGTGTATCATCTTTTTTGAATTGGTCAAATGGTTCTCCTCTGTTGTTCTGCATCAAAATCGAACCTTATCTTCTCTTTTTCAGTCTAAGATTTGTATTGACACAAAAGCACATGACCTAACCGACAATAGATGACTGAACAACGTTTAGAGAGGGACCGAATGCAACGGCAGTTGTTTGTATTGAATCCTCATCTGCATGTAACGCACTGCCTCTGTCACTGTACCTAAGTCAGCAACCGATCGCTATGACACTACTTGCCTGCATGACGTCACCAAAGCATCAACTGCATTGTGCTCTTCTAGGGAATACGTCCCACTTCTCATCCACGAGGAGGAAATGCCACGAGTCAAGAGACCAAGCAATTACTTGAGCTTCTTCTTGATGCGCAATTGGTTGCTGTGGCCACATTTTTTCTTGCGGCAGTTGGTGGCACGGGGAGGGAGACGCGCGTAGCAAATACGGCAGATCTGCTTCTCACAGTTTGTCTTCTTGGCCAAAGCAGCAAGTGTAGGCTCAATAGCACCACCACGAAGACGCAACACCAGGTGTAGCGTCGACTCTGCATTTTACAACCCCATCAACACCGTCAGAACCTTACAATCAAGCGTAGCTCTTCATTGTTTCAACTCACCTTTCTGGATATTGTAGTCCGAAAGTGTACGGCCATCTTCCAGCTGCTTGCCAGCAAAGATCAGACGTTGCTGGTCAGGTGGAATGCCTTCCTTGTCCTGAATTTTCTGCTTGACATTGTCAATGCAGTCGGACGGCTCCACGTCCAAAGTAATGGTCTTGCCTGTCAAAGTCTTCACAAAGATCTGCATGATTCCCTGCAATTAAACAGATACAATTCCCTGTCAGCCCTAGATTTTTGTCAAGCTTTTGCGATGTTGTCCGTCATATTGAGCTGTTAAAATGCCTCTTGTATCATTTCAATAACCTTGTGACAAACTGTTTCTTAGCTGCTAGAATGATGGTAAAGCACCATGATCAATAGAAATATTTTGGCGACATAGAGACACAGACTGATAAGGCTACAAGTTGCAATATAGTGTAGCTCTGTAGACGACGGACAAACATCATCCTTGTTGCCATCTTCAGGCAGTATAACGCACCTTTTTCCTCTCGCAAAATGAATGCCCTACTGCTGTATATAGCAGAGGTTTCTGACCAACCAAGTTATTCTATACAAATATCAAGTCAAGTAGGAATCACTGCACAATCGGCCAGTGATACGAGAGAAACCAACAACCAAGTTGCAAGACGGTCCCTTCGGTTCAACGGAACCGGCCCGGTCCGGTAAGAATAAGGCTGAAGTAACATGGAAGTATATGCGTAACGTCATGAGATTGTAACAAGAAAAAGGAGAAGAAGTGAGAGCAAAGTAGCACTTAAGCTGATGATCGCATGTCATTCTGTATAGCTGAACTCTAAAGCTTTTAGATGAAGATATCACATTAGAACTAGGGATAAAGACAGAATTAACATCTTATACTCTATCTATTCGACATAATAACGCATGCAGAAACACAAGCCACTGGAGTCATGAGGAACAAGGCTGTTTTCTTTGCCGTATTTTGTGTGTGCAACAAAACTAATGAAACCAATCGGTCTAGAGTTAATACTACGCTGCTCAGCGTGACGTAAACCCATATTATACGTAAGAATGCATCAACACTGTTGATAGATGAGCCTTGCAAACATGGCTACAGTCTAGCATGTACCCCAGTTATGGTACCCGATGTACCACACAACATGCGCCACCAATTTGGTTAGTCTCTTCATTTACAAAGAGCTTATTATGACATACTACCGATTCGGACAGCGGCTCAAGATAACGCGTGCAGTAGCGAGAGCAATGGCACGATCCTCTGCTGGCAAACATAACTCCGCTACGATTGAAAAGCTTTTGCAAACCAGCAAAAACCGCTTTGGTAGTACTGTACGTCGAGTTTTTGACCGTTTTTCAATGGACTATTTTTTCATATGTATTGATCATTTACTTACTTTGTGGGTTTTGTTACATCTCATTAGGTGGGGCGACCACTGGGTGCTGCAATTGCAACATTTCTGAACTCGGGCGTCGCGTTCAATACATCGTCTGAGTATTTGTTCTTTGACGGAGAAGATGATGACGGAACGTAAGAAAGAATATATGGTCTACATGTACTTGATTGCTACTTTATCAATCGAAATTTGATGCACCACATACCACTCGAAGCGTTTTTTTGCATTGATGCAATGCATCATTTGAAAAAAAGCTCGAGAGAAAGTGGAAGCATCAAGAGTCGATTACTACTTTACTCTGGAAGTTTCTTCGCCGATCTGACAACTGAGCAGTTAATATCCATTATGCTTCCGTGCAATCAGATAACAGAATGATCAGGGTGGACGATGCAAAACACACAAGACTATTTGGCTAACAAGCAGAAACTGAAATGGACGAGACAATGGAGATACGATAGATACACAGAGCTGCACATTAAATAGATGAACAGAGGGCTATTGCCGACATTCTAAAGTCACTCAATGAATGACCTTTTTCCACGTAGTCACTTATTAATCTGAGTATTTGTATGCTGGTATAAGAAATTTGGGTTTTGTACCTAATTAATATTCTCCCGCAGAACGGAAGACAAGGATGAATACGAATGAGTTGCGAGTGAGCGAAAACTTTCCGCGTGTACCGAAACCATGCGAAAAGGTGTCAACCAAGTTCTTTACGTGTTTTTATGAGCATGGCAAGCAGACAGCAAGCAAGTCAGATGCGGAAGTGGGTAACGTTGCGCTGGAGAAATGCAAGGACGCGATGCTGGCGTATAATAGCTGTGTGGACGCTGAAATGGCCAAGAATCCCAAGGAGTTTTTCCGCGTGCCGGAAGCTTATCGTATGCGCGAGTGAAGTAGACTCTTGTGTTTAAGACACAATTAAAAAAAGACAGGATGCTTGGAGTTGAGTATGTATGAACTAGGGAAGACGAAGGACAATTACGTCCTACTATTGTCTCGTAACGAAAAGAGTTGCCATTTAAGAGTCCAGAGACAGCCCAGCTGATGAAAGGTCACTGAAAACCACCATCTAGTCTCTCGCCAGAATGATGCTGTTGTCCTGCTTTCTAGAGCCTCATGTGTCTTGTTGTTCTTGTAGCATCCAAGAATCTCATTGACAGCGTCCAACTTATTGTGTGTCCTTCTCCCACTCGAGGTTAGCAATCTCATCATCGATTTCTTCCTCCACTTCCGGGTACATGGCCGTCACTTCATCCATAGTCGTAGCCAACGTCGTACGCGTCTCTTCCATCAAACCAATGAGTTCCTTGAGTTCCTCAATACGTGCCTTAGAGTCCGTCACTTTCTCGTTCAGTTGAGAAAACTACATTCAAACAACAGTAACAATCATAAGTAAACCAACCACATACAATCATCAAAGGTTGCAATCATTACAACACATGACATAACCTACAAGCTTATCGACGGTATCCTGTTCATTCAGACGGAGATCGTCCGGTAAATCAGCCGATTTGGCAGCAACGTCCAGCTCCTCTGGAGTGATAATTGGAAACGAAATGCTCTTGTAATTGGACTCCATTGCATCCACCAGTTCCTTGTTCTTAATCACGGAGCGGTAATAGTCAAAATCAATAGCTTCGGGCTCTTTGACAAAATTGCGAGCTTCAGCTGCGATCTGGCCGTGTACATCACGCAAACTGTCCAATGCAGCACGAGCACGTGGGTCTGAAAGCTTTTGAGAGATAGTGCTCCATTCGATTGCACGGGTCTGCAGCGCACGGCCCACAACTTGTTTACGAAGCTGATACATCTTGGCAGTAAAGGTCACTTGATTAATGTAATAGCTGACGGTACTTTTACCCCCTCCTTATTAGAGGTGGAGAGTAAGCTCCTGTCTAAATACATACTTTTTGATTTCGACACTGTAACGATTTTGATATTTAATATAAAAAAAGCGATGCTGAAAACGTATATAATAAAAATTGACGCACAATTCCTTGTCGCAAGACACGACTCAATTCTGAATTGCATTCGTCCATATAACCAAAGTTACTGCATTCGATTAAGCCAAGATGAATGGGTTTCCAATGGAGACTGGGTGGCAAAAGATGAAGCGACGTTGCCAAGAAGAGCCACTTGTGCCACTGGGTTGTCTAGTCACAGCTGGTGTGCTGATAGGAGGTCTGGCTTCGTTTCGACGTGCCGCTGACGCCGCTACGCAGCAGAAATACATGCGTCTACGTGTAGCAGCTCAGGGTGCCACTGTAATTGCTATGGCACTTGGAGGTTTTATTGCCATTAAGCCAAACGAGGACGAGCAGAAGAACAAGCAAAAGAACTGAACGGATCAAAGCGAGGACTGAAGCACGAGGAATAATTCTAATGAGTACAAAGCAGCCGATACTAGGACTCGACAAGTATTTGGTCCTTTTCTGGGTTTTTATATTGTTTTTATGCTAAGAAGAACATGAAAAAGATGAGAAAGATCAATAAGATAGCAGAGATCTTGAGTGCCAGCAGTCGATTGTTCGACAGACTAGAAAAATACTTGAGCAGCTCCTGCTCGCCACTGCTTACGTTCACTAGTGAATCTTCAACGTTGTCATCGATCCTGACAGATACAAAAACACACACATAACGATCAGATCAGCTCATAACGATCAGATCAGCTCACCTTTTAGCAGTAAGAAACAAAAGCACAACTATACCTTCGCACGAGATCTCCCTGTTCATTGATCATTGTCGATAATCTTCCAAAGAGCTGTCCAATATCGACAATATGACTTTCAATTTGAGACACAGCTTCCGCTCTTGACTCGGTGTAATTTTGCTGTTCTGTCACAATTTGTTCTTGTGTCATGGTAGTAATAAGAGGTTGAATCTCCAAGTTCTCATTGTCCGTATCACATCCTAAACGTGGCAGTGAGATAGACACGTTTACTTCCTCCTGTTGACTGCTAGTGTTGTTCCTCGAGGGTTGTGGCGCCTTAAACGCCAGCGGTTTTCCCAATGCACTCGACGCCGTCTTGCCATATCTAGCACGCCGACTTTGCTGGAGCTTCATATTTTCCTGCCTGACCTCGAGAATATCCTTAAAACCTCTAGTCGTAGCCATAAGATTGGATTTCATTAGCGACACAATAGCATCCGAATGCTTTGCTGCTTGTCTTGAAGGTGCCGATTGTCGCTTGCTATTCATATATTCCTGTAAATTGTCTAGCTGCATATTAATATCCGTAATGTCCTTCTTCACCAGTGCTGCCAACTCGTTAATTGCTTCGGTCGGGTCATTAAACATATTATTCTGTCGAACCACTGCCGTAAGTGACATAAGTTAGTGTACACCTCGGTATTTCATCATTGCTACTACTTCACACGTACGTCGTGTTAATTGCTGCAATCTTTTGGAAGCTTGATAAACTTCCTTGGAAATGTCGGAGGCAGCGGCGTTAAACTGCATGTTTTCTTGGAGTGGCGTGTGCACAAGTTTCTATGTCGTGACAAAAAGACCATTACGTTAGCTACAGACGTCGGTATTGATGCGACAACGGGTTCATTTAAACAGCAAAAAGAGTGAAGAGCGTACATGAGAGGCAATGCCACCTTTTGATGCCGCATAATGTTGACACAGTTGTGCAAAATCGGCCGTGCGGTTTGCTGCCATGTCGTGGGGCTCCTTCTTTTTCGGCTCGAAATACCGAACAGTGCGTATAGTTACTTCAGATGTCAACAAACGTTAAGTAACGTAACCCAGTAGCCATCGTGGTAATCTGCGAAAAAATACTGTTGCATAACTATCCGAAAGATGACGTAAAAATTTCCCAGCGTTCCCATTGGCCAAAACAAATCAAACAAAAGATTTAAATACAATCGGCCATGCTATCATTCCCCTAAAAAACTACACTAGCATAAAGTATCTAGTAATTAAAGATGGCCACCTCTGCCCCCAATGACATTAGTGCAATGCTGGACGTCGCCATTGCAGCTGCACGTGCTGCTGGTGCTCACATGAAGTCACAACTAAACACGTCATGTGTAGAAAAGACAAAATCATCGAAAGACGATTTAGTCACAATTGTAGACAAACAATGCCAAGATCTTGTGTTTGACACCATTAAAAGCACATTTCCAAGCCACGAATTCTTAGGTGAAGAGGATGTTGCACCTGGTAGTGAAGCCTCAGTCCGTGCGTTACAAGATCTTGTGAGTAAAGAGTGGCTTTGGATTGTCGATCCTATTGATGGTACGACTAATTTCGTCCATCATCGTCCAGCTAGTGTCGTGTCGGTGGCTTGTGCACATTTGGGTGAAGTTGTGGTTGGTGTCATCTATGACCCGTATCGGGATGAGCTGTTTACGGCTCAAAAGGACAAAGGCACGTGTTTAAACGGTCAACCGACACACGTGAGTCAAGAAGCTTCAATTTCGGAAGCTTTAGTGGGTTTTGGCATTGGTACAAAGGACAGTGTGAGACTTCCCATGCTTGATTTTGCACGTGAACTCTCGGCCAAGTGCAGAGGATTACGTTTGCAAGGAGCAGCGGCTATTGAACTTGCGTGGACAGCTGTAGGACGCCAATCGGTGCGTTCAAGTGGCTACAACTTAAGTGACGATGATACAAGTATTGACTTAACGTGATGTTTGTTTCTATTAGGCATTCTACGAGCTCGACCTTAATTCATGGGATATTGCAGCTGGAGCACTGTTGGTAAAGGAAGCTGGTGGACAAGTGACCAACAGTGACGGTACGGCCTTTTCGCTCAACATACGCAACATTGTCGCATCCAATAACAAGGGCGACATCCATTCAAGCATGATTAAACTCATTGCAAAGGCCGATGCCGTCCATGTTCGCGAGTAAAATTTGTCAACGAGCGACCAATTAGAGAGCAAAGACGACTACTATTAATCAATTTGGTAGAACAAGTCTTGATTGAAAAATTGGTAGAACAAAATTGGTAGAACAAACACTACATATTCTACAAATTTGTCTTTTCATCCAATTGAAAAACAATACATTTTGTCCCTATTTTATTGTCCCTAAAATATTGCATCATTCACTTAATAATGACACAGGACCATGTGAATACGTGGTTCTTTATGTGTGGACCTTTGGCTGTGAACGTCTTTTTACTAGGATTATCACTCAATCTATACGTTTACAAGCAGAATAATTTGGCATTTGATCAGGTGTTTGCTATGCGTCCGGATGAAGTGCCCACAGCCCATGGCGTCTTTCGGACGGCAATTTTTCTACTTGTAGTGCAATTTTTCATGTTTAATGCTGAAATTGCGCAACGTGGCGATGCTTTTGGTATCGATGAGACACGTATGGAAATGTTACTACTTGGGTATGTATGTGTAGCAGTCTCGCTGTTGTTGTGTCCATTGAACGTGCTGCATTACAAGTTCCGCATGTTTGTGGTACGAAAAATAGCACGCTGTTTGTGGCCGTTCCAGAACTTTTCACTCAAGCTACCGACTCATGCTACACCATTTATTGAAGTGTTTATAGCTGATGGTATGACATCACTTTCGAAATTCATTCAAGATCTATCCGTTGCACTCATGCTGCTCGTGATGTCACTCAATAGCGAGCCCAACGACTTGAAAAAGTCGTATCTTTCCAAGTTGAAAGAGTCACCACTGCCTTATTTTGCAGCAAGTACACCCTATATGTGAGTCTGATACGGTAGTGGTTATGGCAATTGGAGAAAGCTCTGATGAATGTTGTCTTGACGTGTTTTTGTTGCGTAGAATCCGTGCGACGCAATGCTTGATCTCGTTTCGACGAACTACGAGTGTGAATGATCGGTTTCTTCACTTGTTAAACACGATGAAGTACTGCTCGAGCTTGTTGGTGATTTCGGTCGGAGCTTATCCGATGCTCACGGGGATTGCACGACCGGAGCATAACAGCTTTTTCCTGCTCTGTGCAGTGTTTAACTCGCTCTACTCGTTCCTCTGGGATGTCGTCATGGATTGGGGTCTGGGACAGCCCAAGCTGCCTCGACGGGTTGCATTTTTGCGGCACCAATTGACGTACCGTCCACGCAAGATTTATTATCTGATCATTGTGGTAGATTTTGCGCTGCGCATTGTGTGGGTAACCAAGTGGTGGGATTGGATGCATCGCGGTGTGCACTTTAAACTATTCTCACAGATCGCAGAGGTCGTGCGTCGTATCATTTGGAACTTTGTGCGTGTAGAATGGCAGTGCATCAAGCTCGACATCCTCAGCAGCAAGAAACTGTTAGCAGGCTCCTTGGAGGTGGAGGGAATGATCGAAAAGGTGCCGCTTACGGGAGAGAACGAGGACGACTTGTTTGAAGATGCCAAAACTAGGATGAGAACGCTAAACCGTCCCAGCGCTGAGAATAGCACTAAAACAAGCAGTACATTTGGCCAGAGTTCCAGCATCGGCAGCAAGCTGCATCTTAAAGAAGTGAAAAATGGCGATGATGCAGTTGTCGGTCTGGGAGGAAAAGGTCACCGGAATGAAATGATCACTATTGCTAGCTACTATGGTAAGCCCGAAGCGATACTGGTAAGTAAGTGGTAGAGTTCACCACATCGATAGCTTAGACGGGGATTAGACCCGAATGAAGTGACCTCAACTCTGCCACTCGTGCAGATAGTTAGCAGAATGTAAAATTGAAGCGTAAACCAACGTACACATATACAAAGTACCGTTAAGCAACAACTGCAATCTCTGTTTCATAGTAGCGCCGTTGCGTAATTAATAACATCTTCCAACGGGCTGCACTTGAACCCAGCTTTTTAATGCACGTCGGCGCTTTCCACGCATCTCTTAAGTGGCGTGAGTGCAGGACGCAATTCACTTGCCAAAGCATGTAGAGCACCAATATGTGGCGAGTTGGGAGCCACAAGTGTCACCACCAGTGGTGCATGGTTGATGTGGATCAGAACCACGTCGTTAAAAAACGCCGTGACACTCTGAACAGCTCCAAACTTAAGCTTCCCAATCTAAAGATCCAGCAAATTTACGCGTCAATTTGACTGCAATTCCAAAAGGTACAAGCTCTACTTCTCACCTGCTCTGCTGCTCCAGCAAAGACCGTGGGTAACACCGTCTCCGTGTACTCGTACCACAGCTCGGATTTTTCCTCTGTTACCACTGTAACATCGTAACGTTATTGTAACAGTTAGAAAAAAGTGGTTGTAACTAGTGTTTGGTACACAAAATGTTACTACACCTTTTAAAAGCGGGACACCTTCTGATGTGCATACAAGAATGGCTTCTAACGCGTTGTATCTGTTACTTAACAGTTACTAACAGTGTAGATAACAGGTTAAAAACACATCATCCCCCACCAACCTATTGAGCACATCATTAAGTTTCTCCTGTAAGATTGGACTCTACAATTACAATACATTGCAATGGGGATAGTTAGTATCACTTGGTTTATAGTATCATATACATGTTATAGCAATTAACTGGGTATAGCACCATTTCAGACGCGGTCTCCATTGTTACTTAGGGTGATAAACTCAAACCAGCACAGTTGGTGTACACTACACACAACCAGACTAAAGTATTGCGTTATATTTGCCTTACAGTACTATTGACACTAACAATAAGGGTCAATAAGAATATTATTATAGCTAATAATATTTAAATATTATCCTTCCATACTATATTGTCCTCGCATCTCCTTAAAGTTGGAGATGCCCTCTACTGTAATTGGTTGATATAGGCCATTATATCAACCAAGGCGCTGATTGATGAATGATGGACGCGCGCAATGAATGGAGGACACAAAGGAAGCATACATATTTGTACTTTAATATAGTTAAGACAAAATTATTAATGATTTAGTTTTATTAGATAGTTTAACTATATTAAATACAGTTCTCTTTTCCCCTACTTCTAAGCGTGTTGTACAGAAGTAAAACTTCCTCTGCCTCTTTGTGTAAGAGAGGTTTTGATGCACCTGCTTCCACTGTAATCAATAAAGGTAGACTATATTGTTATCAGTATAGTCGGAGAGTGCCCCACTACAATAGTGATGTAACAAACACCTTTCGTCGAGCCACAACTTATAATAAATGATTGGGATCTGCATTTTAATATTGGTATCTCTTATCTTACGGCGTATAAATTCACCTAAATATATTCACTTTGCATTTTGCCAACCTGTGCTCACCTGATCTTTAACAATGGGTTATATAATATAGGTCCAAGCTCCACCTTCTCTATCCCCCACGCCGATCAAGCTCTCGCTATGGACACCGCCTCTGTCTCCGCTTCTCGCATCAACAAGTTCGATGAAACGAACTTTCATACGTGGGAGTTTAAAAAGCAGATGGTGTTGGACGAGAGGGACCTGTAGGAGTGACAAGTGTTAGAAAGGATCATGTTTGGCAGGTTGTCAGGTTTTACAAGGTTTAAGTGCATATTTATGGGACGGCCTCACCTTATTCGCCAGTTGTGACGATTAGACGAATGGGACATGGAGAGACAGGTGAAAACTTAACAGTTGGGATAAGGCCATACGGTTACAATGCGGGACCACCGTACTAGATGGGCAGGTAAGACGGATGCCATGTGCCACTTACATGGTCAAGTTGCAGTGCCCTAGGGGTGCATGTTGTAGAGTAGCTCTTCTCGTCGACGTTTTCTGCGGCAAAGAAGGACGAAGGTGATGATGTGTTGCAATAAATCAACAAGTTGAAGACCCTAGCAGAGACAGCTCTACTCGATGGGCGCTTTGGCAGTGAGGACGAATTGGTGATCACGCTTCTCAGCTGTCTCAACAAATTCGTATAATAGCTGACTCGCTATCCATGGGAGCTTGTAACGTCTTGGGTCCAGCGAGCAAGACAAGCACTATTTCCAGTAACTAATAGCAATACGTGTCACTACTATGGAGAGCAAGGGTATTGGAACGTCAAGTGCCTGATAGGATTCATGAGAGTACGTAGCGGCAGAGGCCGCTTCGAGCGAATATCGCGCAAGTTATAAATAACTAAATTCAGTTCCACAATCAAGTGGAAGGAAGCGTGTGACTCGGGGTGTAACTTGCTGCTCATGAATGACACCTAGGACATCGTACAATTATTGAAGGGACGCAAGGCTATCGAGTGAAGATGGGGTTCGTGTCAAGGAGAGCCAAGACGGTGAAGTTGAGCGATACAAGCACAACTGGTGGCCAAGGGATCTTCGCAAAAGTTCGGAATCGACTAATATGAGGCTTTTCCGCCGGTTACCAAATTCACGTCGATTCGAATAAGGTTGAGTCTGGCTGCCAAGTAAATGTCACCTTGCACCATATGGATGTGAAGACAGCGTTCTTGAACGACGCACTGGATGAAGACATTTGCATGACCTAGCCAAATGGGTACATCAGCTCAGATTACCCGGGCTAGGCTTACAAGCTCAAGCGATCGCTTTATGGGTTAAAGCTGTCACGATTTACGAGGCCAACCAAAGTCTCAATTGTGTTGGCTAAGAATCCTGAGCTCCACAAGGGACTAAGCATATCTGTTAAAAACGATCGTTTTTTGACAGGTTGCAAGGTGTTGAAGGCAAGGGCTGTTGGAAGGCAAGCTTCAAGATGATGATCCATGAAACTGGTACAGACTGATTGTGGATAATCATGTTTACGCCGAACACCTGTGTGGGGTTTCATTATATGATTTATCCTAATATATAGACTTTAAGCTAGCTAGGGGAATAACGAAACAAATATCACTCTCTCTTTTGCATCTAAATTGTGTGTGCTATTGTTGCCCTTTTTGTTCAACTTCTAACAGGTTATGAGCCCAATGGAGGCACCATACGCAGGCACTGCAAGCGACGGCGTGCATGCGCAAGCAGCTTCCGCCACCGGTCACGGAGGGGTCGGTAGAGTCGAAGATCTAGAGTAGAAGAGCAACCCCGGTAACGTCCATGCGGTGGGCGTTACCAACAACAGGAGTGATGATGTGTCATATCTCTTGGTCCTCATGAGAGGGATGGCTGGGCGTCTGGACAGGCTCGAGGAGTCGCAGGCGAAGCTAGTGGAAGAAAACGATGGGCGTGAAGAAATGTGGATACACCCATGACTCCACCCATTAACTCAAGTTTGTTTGCATCGGCCCTTGGAAAGGGAACAAGGATGCATATAAATAGCTTGGATGGGTCGTCCCGTACGCCGGTTACGACTCCGAGGAGACCGGTGGAATAGCCAAGGTATTTTGGATATGAACAGGCTGGATATAGAGGACCACGGCAAGGGAATGAGTTTCATATTGCCCAAGGTCAAGCTGTTCACGGTATGCCGCCTAAAATAGGTGCGCGTGGACATATGCAAGGACAAGTTTATTAAACGAACAAGCACAAGGGCAACAATTTCAAGTCAGATACCCAGATGCAAGGCAGAAGAAACTCGGAATTCGACCTTTTGATAGTCGAGAACTTTACAAAGGCCTCGGGTCTGGTTTTTTGGAATGGAGTCGAAGATTTGAGCGCCAAATTTCATTGGCACAATCGTCTTGTGGTTTCCTGTGGCCGGAGGATGTTAAAATTGATTTACTTGGTTTATACTTCTCTGACACTGCAGAGAGGTATTATAACAGACAGGTTGCGTTGTGGTGGACCCAATTACCCACCTTACAGTACGTCATGGAAAAATTGCTGGAGGCATTCAAGACCAGTATCACGCCGGCCCAAGCAATGCGATTATAAACCCAGCCTAATGATCCCAAACGGAGTTGGCTCAGAGCATTATATGTATCTGACGGCCATCGCTGAGGTTACCGGAAATTGGGAGACTATTTGGATTTGGACAATATTGTTCAGTACGCTTCTTCAGGAATGCGAACCGTCCTTTTGGCGAAAGTTGATCCTACTAGAAGTGATTACCTGGTGCAAGCCGAAGAGCTGGCTCATTTTGCTCAGGCATACGAATTTAACGTGGGAAGGGAGAAGACTCTTGGACAAGAAATTGTTGGGTCCGTTTCGGAACGACGTGAAAAGGAGATGCGCCGATGTCACTCTTGTAATGAGGTTGGGCATTCACGAACCGCGTGTCCCAAACGAAAACACTCGCCCCAAGTATCATCCAATTTATCACTGGCCGTCAATGACTTGTCTGATGAATTTAAAGATGTTTGGATCCTAGACAGTGGGTCCAGCAGACATTTGGTCAGTGATGAATCATGGCTTGAATGTCGATTCTTGTCAAGGAACATGTCTTCAACCCGATGGTATGCCACTAAATGTGTCCAAAAAGGGTTCGGTGACAATGATGGTTATGGCGGGTGGTATTGAAAGAGTGCTGACACTTAAAGAAGTTTATTTTGCCGAAGGCGTTAAGTGCAACTTGATTTCGTATGGAAACTTGGATGAAAAGGGCTACTCACTTGGATACAATGGTGCTCAACGCGTGCTAGCAGATAGGAATTATGGTCAAGTTGCTTTTGACGTAGAATTAATTCGAAATGTTTTGGTGGTTTCTTGTCGCGTGGAGAAAAGTATTATAAAACCTGTTGGTGCTATCATGTCAATATTGAATGTGGAAGCGAGCCGACGGTGCCAGGTGTCTGATGATGTTCAGAAGGGTACTTTGATAAAATTTCACAAGCGTCTCGGACACTTGAGCTATGATACCATTGAGAGGTTTAATCGCGATCCATCCTCTGACATTGTCTAACGGACAAGTGCCGAATCAATTGTCTGCCTTGTGCGCAAGGAAAACAGACTAAAAGATCGTCAGTCTAACAAGGATAGTGGTGGTCACTCACCCATCGATCGAATTGGAGGAGTCATTTGCTCGGACATTAAGTCCGATGACTCCAAAAGATCGATTGAATAATCGTTACATGATTAATTTTGTCGATCACAAGAGTAATTATTGTCGTGTGTTTCTTGCACGAACCAAGGATGCTGCGGCCAAGAAATTTGAGCATTTTTTAATTTTTTTCGAGAAGAAATTCAATGCTCGGGTGCATGTACTTCGCACGGACTCTGGAGGGGAATACCAGAATGTAGATCTTTTTTGCAAGGAGACGGGCGTATCGAGGCAACGCAGTGAAGCAAGAAATCAAGCGAGCAATGGAAAAGCTGAAAGAATGCATAGGACAATTATGAACATGGCTCGTTGCATGATATTTGCTTCTGGTTTGCCGCTGAATTTTTGGGGTGATGCGGTAGAATATGCTGCGTACATATTAAACCGTGCTCCAACAAGCGCGAATTCGAGGAGGGCATCACCGATCGAGGTGCTGACACAGCAAACCCCGTCACTCGGTGAAATTGTTGTTTTTGGCTTAAAAATGCATGGTATACCGAGACCCAAGGAAACAGAATTTCTCCCAGCGTGGTCAACAAGGAATTATTGTTGGAATCGGCGAAGAAACCAAAGGGTATCGTGTTTACCTGCCCAAAGATAACGTGGTTGTCGTTACTCAGCATGTGAAAAACATTGAGACGCTGGACACGACTCAAAATGAGCAAGTTCAAAAGTTGTATTTGCAGAAGAACCCTGGTCTGGTGGACGACACGTTCGCACGAGAAAATGACCACGATGGCGATATACTCGGATCGCAAACGACGGAGGAGACGACGAGTCGTCATTCTAAAAAAGCGAAGTCGAAGAAACATGCTCAGTGGACACGAAAGAAAAAGGTTGTGACACGGTCTGCGAGCAGAAAAAAATTGGACTCAAGCCCAATTTCGGCCGAGCACAGTGTCGACGATGATGTTGTCAATCAAGTCGTTTCTGTTAGTGATCCACAGAATTTTGGAGAAGCTATGCGTAGTTCAAACAAGACGGGCTGGTCTAAAGCGATTTCCGAAGAGCTGACAGCTCTAAAAAACAACGGTGTTTGGAACGTCGTTCGCGTTCCAGAGAATGTTCGAGCTCTGAATTCAAAATGGATTTTTAAGACCAAACGTGATGCTGAAGGTGGTATCGAGCGCTTGAAGGCGCGACTTGTTGCATGTGGAAACGAGCAAGTTCTTGGCGTCAATTATGGAATTACTTTCGCGGCAGTAATGGATATGTTCAGCGTAAAATGATTTTCGATCTGGCTAGAAAATGGAGAGTTCCTGCGAAACATGGAGACGTACCTAACGCTTACGTGAAAGCGGACAAGAAAGCCAATTTGGACATTTACATTCGAATTCCGCAAGGAATGCTCGTATCGGAGGAGGTAAAGAACAAGCTTGGTGTCTCAAGGAACGATGAATTGGTTTTAAAGCTAAAGAAAGCGCTCTATGGGCTAAAACAAGCAGGAAGACTATGGAGAAAATTGTTGCACAAGAAGTTGGTTGACATTGGTTTTAACCACGGACATGTGTGTCTGTTTCAGATGGAAAAAACAACGCATTTTAATTGTTGGAGTTTACGTGGATGACCTTATAGTCACAGGAATGGATCAACGTGCCGTGGACAATTTTTTGGCGAGCTAATTTCGTTGTCGATAAAGGATCTCGGACCTGCTCGTAAGTTTTTGGGTATGCACATCCAATACGAGGAAGAAAAGGGGTACAATTTTGATCATGAGGTTGGATTTCTTGACATGCTAAAGGAGCACGGTCTCGAAATGGCACATGGTGTACGTGTACCAATTACCTCGG